AAATTGTAAAACATTTGCAGCTGTTTACTTACAGCTTAATTACCGCAGAATTTTTGATATTGCCGTGTTAAGCGCTATATCCGTATGAAACATTTTAATGCGTTAGCGACTATATTTAGTCGCATTTTCACAAGCTAGGTGATGGAGCTAGCCACAGACACGTGGCAATACTACTGACTACGGTTTGTGTCAAAAGCTGTGTATGACGACGCTGTCTGCCCGCTACTACGCCTAGCAACTAACACACAGCCAGGCCAAAAAATGCCTATATTCACATTAATACATCATCAGGAGGATGAAACTGAATTTAGTGGTTATATAACCTCTTCTAGCGTTTCTTTTTAGCATTGCCCGCGAATACTGGATGCACCTGCATTACCCTGCGAGCGAGAACAGAGACCGTAAAAACATACATCGCCAGCATATAACTCAAAGATACACGGAAAGCTCGAAAACTCGCCAATAAACTCTGCAAGCAGATAGACACAGGATTAGCCAGTGCACTTACTCGCATCTCCAGGCCCATCAGCAACGCAGTAGCCAGCAGTCTGTGCTGCGCCGATTCGGACGAAGGTTTGCTCGGTGTCGTCTTTGCCGTCATTAGATCGCTGCCTTCCCACACCGTTGGCAAAGCCGCGAATCTGCGGCGGCGGTGTAGGCTGTGCTGCACCGAGAGCGGTGGACAGCTGTCCCCCTCGTACGTCACTGGCGGCTGCTTTGTCACCGCCATGTCGATGTCGCGCTAGTCGCAGCCGGGTGACAGCATACGTTATGTCGTCGGCCTCGATGAGTATTCCTTTTCTTCCATGACGTCCGTTGTTGCCGATTCGTCACGAACACCATGTCACCGCTTCTGGATCCTATAAGAAGCCAAATGTGGAATTGCTGGTAAGTGGCGCCGAGGGGGGGGGGGAGGCGCCGTTCACAAATGTTGAAGTATTACTTATCACCTCATTCATCTTTTCACGATTATATCAGCTTAATTTATTATTATATATATATATGATATATACGCGCGCTCACCACACAATGCATATATATATATATATATAATATTACAAAACTTGTTATTTAGTGACCACTGTCTAGAACTTACGCTACGGGTATGCTCTAGCTATCTTCGCAGCTGATATAGACATGAAATGGATCGAACGTACCGGCAGTGTTTTTGGGAAGACGCCCGCCACTCGTTTATGTAGTTCGATCGACAGCGTTAGCCGGAGGCACGCTCCATCGTTCTCTTCGCGCTGACACCTAGCGTCTCGGCTTCAGTGTAGCCGTCGGCAACGTCCCTCACCTTGAAGCCAAGATTCGAAGAACAATGTGACGTCAGTGGCGTCTCCACGACACGTGATAACCTTATCTGCAACCGCAAGATGGCGATTACGATGATGACATGATGACGTCACCACATGTGCGCAACGCCAATGAAATGTTCGATGTAGTAATCACAACACGCATATGTAACCTGCTCGGTGCAGCATGATGTCACGTATCAACGAGCGTATACGCGATCATCGTATAAATAATTACGTAACACATTGCGTACATAAGTATCTACGTAAGTACTGGACTGGAACTACTACGTACTGGAAATCGACGTCTATTGATTAATTAGCATCGATAAAAAACGATAGAAACGAAAACGAAGATGGTAAATATGGGACTCTGAAAATCAGCTAAAGTTCAAAATGATGTTCAATCCTGTTTGTTGATGAAACAACTGGGGGATCGTTTCGTGTTTTACACTCACCCAGCAGCGTCGGTGTAAAGGCTGTATCTCCTTCACGCATTACCGCGCCAACAACAGCCATCACGAACAGTGTAGTGTGGAACTTCATCATGATGATCTCTGCTTATATCTGTAGAAACAGAAATCACAGGTAAATATATATAAATACCTGACGGAATGCATGCTCGTAAGTAAGAAACAGGAAAGAAATAGTGAACGAACAAAAAAACTTTACAAAGAACGAGCACGCGCGGGCTGCGTGCACATGCAGTACAATATATATATATTATGAGATATTTTAGCTGAAACGCACAAAGCTCGTTTTTCACGCAGTCACACACGCAATACGTATACGCAATATGCCAGTAAAGCGAAGTACGAGTTACAAATTATTGTCCTTATATCACATTGACAATTAATGCGATGAATCAATCTAATTCCAGCTCGTAAGCAGACGATAATAATACTGACTTTTAAGTTATAGTCGAGCATAACACAACCCGTAAACGATCACCACACAAGAAAAAGTTGCAACGAACAACAAATGAAAAATACGATATCAGAACAACACTTACCTTCACACGTGGAATGCTTGCACGCTACGATCAGGTTTGACGTGAGTGTGTGTGATCTTGCATCGCCCTCCTCCCATGTTTTATAGGAGAGCCGTCAGCCCGCGGGTGTGGGGGACTAGGTGAGAACCGGATTGTTCAGCGCTTGGGCACGGTCGACCCCGGGTCCCCGTTACTTCGTCCCAAGCGTGCTCCGCGCGATTGCTATATAAACAATAGCATCCCGTTGATAGGCGAGAGGTGGGCCTCATCCCAATATCAACAAGGTGGTCCTGACTCCAAATACCAAGACATTGGGGCTTACCCTAATATCAACAGTGTGGTCCGGACTCCCGGTACCAGCACGGAGGGCCTCGATCACCCCAATATCAACACGGTGGGGTCTTACTCCAAGGGTGGTCATGACTCCAAAACCAACACAATACTTAGCACATAACGAGTCAATCATAGAGCATCATTGTTGTCTAAGTAACAAAGTATTTGTTGATTGAACACGGGCCGCTGCTGCGGTTAATGGACGATGGGTTGGTTTCGATCCCATTAACGGGACCATGATGGGAGCTATGCCGGCAGGTGGGTGCTTGGGGTTAGGGTAACGGCCGCATACATTCCTGTAGAAACAGTATACGTCACTACGCGCATCTACGTTCTCATCGAGGTTGATGAAAGAACAATCATAGCTAATGCTTTACCGAGTGGCTCTAACGAAAAACCGCTTTGTCAAAGTAGAACGAGTATGTGTGTGGCCGTGAAACACCTACTATGAAAAGTCCTATTTAATTACTAGGCGACATTTCACTGCCCGCGGTATCACAAAGCTTCTCTCTGCCCATCGATCACGCGGTAACGCGGTGCTTGCTCGTCGAAGATCTAAGATCTGGTATCGATTGGCAATCGTTGTTATAGATACGTACCTAGATACAATAATGTGACCCAGCACAAGGTGCTACTCTTGCGTTGGGTTTCATTATGGTATCTAATCCGTGCCACGCGCGTCCCCGGGGATATGGTAATCAATGGATCACCTATTGGTGTGCATTATCTGACAATCGTTAGAGAAAATGTAATCACGGCCCACACGCGCACATGTATAGTCACTAATGCTAAATGGTTAAACACCAGCAACTATATACCATCACTACGTATATACACTACACGTACAACAACAACAACAACAACACGTACAACAATTGTTTATTGTGTTATTGCACTGTGAGTAGAATATTATTTCAACGTTTTGCATTGCATTATTGTATTGCAACGTGTACGACCACGCACATACGTCACCACGTTCAACAATTGTCAATATAATAATAATAATAATAATAATAATTAAATAATATTATACATTATTATTATTTATATATTATTGTTATTACATATTAATTAAATATTATAATATAATATTATAATACCAATTGTCAATCACGACTATTGTTTAGACGATAGAAAACATCTATGTAACTTGCTCCGATGTGAGCGATAAACAACCATTTTGGCTATACCCCGCGTGATAAAACAAGCTTCCAACGCTGAAGTAAGTTAAATTCTCTCACAATTTTATATACTAGCAACATTTCTGCTTCTCATGTTTTTTCCTTGGATATTTTTTCTCAGGCAGGTAATGTTTGATATGTACGAAACAATTTCATTCACCATCGATCATCATAGGCCTAAACATATCAGCGGAACTATCATCATGACGAAGTCTTTATTCACTCCTGAATATATGTATCATACGTAGACGTATGTACGATCATGTTATCATATACGGGGCACATGAAGAGATATTGCTGCCTTTTGCATTGTGCGTTATTCTTACTCAACCTATATATTAAGCATCGAATTTAAAACGACAGTAACCGCAGTTTGCAACCCTACACGACAGACAGACAGCTTTCGTGCCGTGGAGTAAATAGAATGGATTAAGAGCCAGGCGTAATGTTGGGTAGAAATGGCACGGTGTGTAAAGTACCAAAGTGTACATGCTAATGAATGATCATATATATATATATATATATATATATATATATATATAGCATATTCTATCTTCAATCTTGTCGATAAACTTTTAATGTGAACTAAAAGCGAATATCAATAATTTTATAATGCGCAATTGACAAACGATCGCGGGCGGGAAGCGGGCCGACATTACGTAAAAACACGAAACAAAACCGAAATACAAATCAACATTTTGCCCTGCCTACACAAAACAACGACACCAAAGCCTTGTTGCGGCGATTTACAGAGACTTGCCAGGGTTAACCATCGAACATAAAAGGCGCTTGCAGTTGATCCGCAGCAATCTTTCCCAGGCAGCTATAACATCTTTTTCTTCTCCGCCCGGTATGTTGTCCGACGCATCGCCTTCCCCGATTTGATTATTTATTAATCGAGAGATGGGCGCTGCGAACATGATGAGGCAGAACGAGTCTGACAACCTGGCACGTGAACGAGGATGAGCATCGACGACACAGACCCTTGGTTATATCGTGTCGCCGCTTTGCGTCGCTGCATTGTACATCATAGCCGCCTGTACATCGGATAAAAGCCGCGACGTACACGTCCCTCACGCTGTTGGCGTCGGCCGCCTGTCGTAGAGACTCGTGACACATCGGTCCTGGCGTCCGTCCGTTGACTCAGCGGCGAGCGACGCAGACGCGGACGCGGCGACCGGTAACGCATTCAGCCGAGGCTGAGACGGTAGTGCACAGATGGAGCGATCAGCGCCGATGGGAGTGGTGGGAGAAGAGAGAGGAGGGGGCAGGGCGAGAGTGGGAGAGGGAGAAGGAGGAAGAGAGAAGGACGGCGAAAGAGAAAAAGGGGTGAGTGGACACGCGCTCGAGAGAGAGAAGAGATGAGAAGAGAGAGAGAGAGAAACGAGAGAGGAGTAGAGACGAGAGAGAGAGGAGAGATGAGAGAAGAGAGGATTGAGGAGGAGAAAGAGGAGAGTAGAAAGAGGAGAGAGAGAGAGAGAGAGTAAAAAGAGGAGAGAGAAGGAGGATGCAGAAGCGAGGAAGGCCATGGAGGAGAGCAAGTGTGAGAAGAGAGGAGGAGGGAAAAGCAGAGAGAGAGAGAGCGAGGCAGAGAGAGAGAGAGAGAGACGAGAGAGACGAGGAGACGATAGAGGACGAGAGAAGTGAGCGGCTGCGCGCGCGGAGATTGGCAGCCGAGTGCAGAGGGAGAAGAGAAAGTAGATATAACGACATCCGCACGCTCTTACGGCCGACCAGCTAGATGGCACGACGTCGTCGTGCTCACGAGTGTTCTCTCGGAAATCGAACGTCGGAAATAATGAATTGACATATGATATACTGATTAGTATAATGAGTATGTATAATATAGCTGATATATGATATATGATTATATATGATTATGATGATATACTATATATGAATGTTATACGAGCTGCGCCTTTATAATCCACGCGACGGTCCGTACACGTGTACCACGACACGATATATATGACGTTCATTCATTGCTACTACTTCTTCCTGTTGGGGAGATTTTCTGTGATGCAGGGCCGTCATGCGCAAAGGATCGCTGCGTGCGAAAGGTATGAGAGACCCGATAAGATAAACCATATTAGCAGAGAAGGATAAGATGAGAGATAGAGAGCGACGATATATATATAAGGATAGAGAGAGATAGGGAGGAGAGAGAGAGACGAGAGGAGAGATAGAGAGGAGAGAAAGAGATAGACAGATAATAGATAGATAATAAAGAGGAAGAAGAGAAAAAGAGAGAGAGAGAGAGGAAGAAGAGAGAGAGGACAGAGAGGAAGATCAGAGAGAGAAGAAGAGAGGGAAAAGAGGTGGATAATGGGAAGAGCGAGAGAGAGAAGAGAAGAGAGATATTGAGTGAGAGAGAGAGAGAGAGAGGAGAGAGAGAGAGAAGAGAGAGAGAGCAGAAGAGAGAGAGGAGGACCAGGATAGAGAATTACGACAGATGATGGTCACAGATAAGAATTCTCCGGAGTATTTTTGCAGAGAGCAGGCGAGAATCTTAGTTTCACTTACCCCACGAGATGAAGATATCTAGCCAAACGCTCATTGAAATTGTTTTAGAGCAAAGCTCGCATTTCGGCAACTAGCGTGCATTTATTACACGACCTGATTTGCCATTTGTCAGAAGCGTTCGTAAAGTAATGCTACAAAAGTGAGCAGGGCGAAAATGATTTAAACGTATACGGCACGATCAGTTTATAGTGATGCTCATACGGGTCCGTTTGCCACCTGATCTACGCGCGAGAGTGAGCATGTGCAACAACTGATATTTTTTCGTCGAAATTGCTTGCGCTTTTCCTCGTCGGCATGCCCACGTTAGTTATTTAACTCATCTTTAGCACTGTTTTTGTCGGGCAAAGGTACTCTACATCAATAATTTCACTATGCGAATGGGAGAATCAGGACGTTGATCTAAACTGGGCGTTTCATAATAATCGAGCAGCGAAGCTTGGAATTAGAAGAAAAATTTCTTCTAACAAAATGTTTTTCATGATATAGTTCCCTCTCATGCTGGGAACACAACTCAAGAGCTCACGACAGATTTCTGAACACGCTACGAAAATGTTCTTCGCACGACTGACGCTTCGCAGATTCGTACACCAGCCTCTACCATATAAACGTTGTAAGTTTAAGTGCAGTAGTTTCGGCGCAACTATTAGTATAAGAGCAATGACATCAGTATTATTTTCAATAGAACTACCTGCCGGCATGTAAGTCCCTGGTAGTTATAAGTAAACATAACTCACTGAGCTGATACGAAAACGTCTAATGACTGGCCGCTTATATTTCTTAACAGGTAACCAAGTTTATCTTTCGCGTAGGTTCCCGTATTGCCGCATGAGAAATATATCCTTGTATGACTGTAGTGTTATCCTTGTATCTCACACAAGTGTATAAATACGAGCACGCGCATGTACTATCGCGCAGTAACACCGTAGAGAAGCTTAGCTGTATGACTAAATGTGAACTGTATGACAAGAACTATAGGCAAGAACGGAATACTCATTTTTTACATACACATGTCAATTTATATTCAACGTAACAATACAACGTCAGAACATTTATCCATCCACTAATAACACGGTTGACTGTTCTCGTTTTCTACGTGGAATTATAGCGGTATCACACAATACATGTTTAAAAGAAACTAGAGCCAGGTTAATTATTATACAAGATCTAGAATTAAACCGAATGCACACGACAGATAACACGAATGATCCACATCAATGTCTTAACCGTATTACATTTTATGTACACAGCTGACGTATCGCTCGTCGTTGTTTCGTTAAAAGCTAAAGTTCACAGTGTGGGTGCGTATTACTCAGGCATGGACATCACTAGCGTCGTAGACGAAACTCGTTCTCCCTCGCTCTCTCACTGCTACCTTCTCTCTCACGCTACTCTCCGCACGCTCTCTCTATATATCTCCTACTGTCCTCTCTTCCACCTAGCACACAGCCAACGGTTGTCATCGTCACTCTGCCGTGATGACGTGTGATGGCGCGGCGACGAGTGCGGCGATCGACTGATGAATGACGAAGACGGGCCAGACTCAGCGCCGAAGTCCTACCGCGTATGCAGACGCTACTTGCTGCTCTGGTGGCGCGGCAGTGGCAACAGCAAAACACGCATGTCACGTCATGTAGCCAGTCTTGCACGAGCAGAATTAACGAATACACGTAAGAGAACGAAGTGATATCGTGGCTGAATGAATATGATATATGCTCATGCCACAGACATATCGTGCATATCACATCATATCATACCATACAATGTATATCATACCATATTCATACCATATCATTCTACTATATCATCGAGGGAGTAAAAACGAGTTGAAGGCACGAAGTAGCGACTAGACAATACAATCTCCTTTCGGACACTACGTGTGAGCTTTAGCCGCCGATACACGCCATGTCTATAGATGAGCCATTATTGGTACTATGCCTTACCTTCTCTCTGTAGGTAACCGCGTTGGTCGACCCTCGAACGCTGGTCTCTCACTCACGCGCGCAGTTAGAACATCGCTCTGTAATAAGTCTCCAACTCCTGCTCACTCCCCCTCCCCGCTCGCACAGCTTTCCTCCGTCCTCACCGGGCGACACTGACAATACAGACGAATAACGTAAATAAATAATTTGTAAGTAGATTAATTTTTACTTAACATTTAACTCATTATTTTTTAATAAAATATAACTAAAATACAAATATGTAATAAATATATATATATATATTATTATTATAAAATATTAAATATATCGTGCATCGAGCCGATGACTAACCGTTCTGTCGGCAATCGAGGCCAAGAAACTAAGCGAACGCCTGGCAACGGAACGCACGATGTTGGCATCGGGAACTTGAATGCGGCTTAAGCGACCACTTCTCGACCCGACTGTCTCCGCCATTTTCTTCTGTACGGCTTCCGTCTGTATTATGTCCATCGACGTAGATCCAAACGTGACGCACCGCTGCGATGAGCAAAAAAAGGAATTAATACGCTATCATTAGTGCGTTAATTGCATCCGGATATATTTACGTCGACGAGCTACATAGAGATGTGCACGACCGGAATAAAAAATAAGGCAACTGATGTTAATTCAGAGCAATCGTTTATAGGGATTAATTACGTTAATTAATATTCGCGGTGAAGGTATTTAATCTCCAGGTTTGTTAGAGGACACCGATCAATATAAATACACGGAACAGAAATATTGAAAACAGATGAACGCCAAGGGCAATTGACTTGTCAAACTTGCGGCCACATGGGTCGTAGACGAAGACGTCGGGGTACTTGCCTCCAAATATACCATCCGTTGAAACTTCCGGTGTTATCGATTATTTTGCCTGTGATTGTTCGATATAGCTGCACTGCGCGCGTATCGACTGGAGTCCAGCCTGGGCTCTCGTCGGCTGCGCTGGAGAGGCGCGAGCCGAGGCAATCTTAGAGAAGAAATGTTCTGGTGAATAGATACCGTGTCGATGGACACAATGGCAGAGAGAGTTGGGCACGCGTACAGCCGGATACGATAACGAAACGCTAATGATCGGCGACAAAAATACACTGAAATGATACGTGTATGGCGACATAATACGATAAAGCAAACGCTTTGAGTAAAATTGTAAAGACATTGCAGGTGTTTACATAACAGTTATACTGCGGCAGGAATTTTTGTAGGGCAGACACTTGGCAAAATATACGACCTTACGGCTTGTGTCAAAGACGCGGTATTACGACTAGTGTCTGGCGCTGCGTAGGCGGCGTAGGCAGCCGGGGTGTATACGACGTGCGCCTGCGCTCTACCGCTAGCGAAGCTAACGAGCGGGGATCAGCCACGGCGAAAGAACATGTATAATATACATGAAGTACAATGCCATGCATGACGATGAAACCTGAATCGTGTATTGTAATAAAAACCCCGGTATTTCTAAATTTTGCTTCTGTTACGATTTCGAATTAACTCGGGCCCGCACTGGCACAAG